CCAATTCAATACACTCCTTTCAGTGTCTGCTCTCTCAGCATCCCTCTGTGCAGAACCTTGTAATGTTTCATTAATTCCCAGCTGCCTCCTGATGTTGGAATTTTACCATGAGAGACTGCCCACAAGTGGGATATCAAGGATGCTGTAAACATTTCACTTAATAGATAAGACAATTAGAAAATTTGAGTTAGCCAAACACCAATATGGAGTTACCTGGTCACAAATTTCACATTTGATTTTTTTTTTAATTCTATATTTTAATTTTATACCAAAGGATTCAGTCAGTAAAATCCCATTTTTGTATTTGCTCTTAGTCTGCTTACACCGAAACACTGGGATTTGTATAATTTCTCAAATTATTTCTGAAAAAAGTGTATGATGCTCACTGGGATTTACTCAGGTGCCAGTGGGAGGAGAGTTGTCTCTGACGCAGCTTTCATCCTACATCTAATTTCAACAAATATGTCCCAGAGGAGATAAATTCTCTCCAGCAAAGATTCTTGAACAACAGTGTGACTTCTATTATATAAATTTATCATTCTTCTGAGTTTATGTTAAAAGATCTTTGCAAAGTTCTGTCCAAACTCCATCTTGAATTTACCTGGTAGGAATCCTATTATCTCAGTAGCAGTGCAGCAAATGAGTCAGCAGAGAATGTGCCACTGGGTATGTTACTCAATCATTCACATCTGCTGTGTTTGGGGACACATCTGAAACAGGCGGCAGCATTCCCAGTCACGCCCCAGGGAGGCACTTACGCTAAGCTGGTGTGACTCAGCAACATTTCTTAATTATCTGATGGCTGCAGGAGACTTCAAGATTGAAATGTTGTCAGCAGCATTTTATCCAAAGTGGTGAAAAGCTTCTAAAAAGCACTTTTGGGACATATTCTTGCCAGCTTTATGGCACTGGGTCTCTATTACCATAAGCAAACTCTGATACCTGAGTGTGGCCTTCTGGGAAATTTCATATAAAGCCACAGGAAGGCTCATTTTTGCAACCTCCTACGCCTCTGTCCTTAAAAGCAATGGTACTCCCCACGTAGGCTGGGCCTGGGCTGGGGTCTCTGTTTTCCAAGGGGTTGTGGCCTTCTCTTGCTACTCCTCAGAGCTGGCAAGGCTGCGCTGCCTTGGCACGGGGTCACGGGTTTGTCACCATCTCTCTGGGAGAGCAGAGCTTGGCACAGCTGTCTGCACCGTCTACAGGTGGGATAACAACAAAGGCCTTGTAAACATGGACAGTGATAGAGAGAGAGGTCCCAAAATATGTAACAGTGCACAGATAGGCTACTACCTGCTGTTTAAAGAGGGCAGTGTGGAGAAGCTGCTTCTGCTTTGGGAAGGGAAGAGTAAGCTGAGCAAGGAAAGAGTAAGCAACAGGTACCTGCTGCAGCCTGGGATGCCGTGTCCCCTCCAGGACCAGGCACTGTGTAGCCCTGGGAGGAGGTCAAGTGCTGGGAATTGCCTCAAAATTCAACCTTATAAAAGGATCAAATCTGGGGAGGAGGAGGAGGAAAAAGCAGATGCTTACTGTAGATACAGCTTTTTTCATTGAAGAGCTGGGTGTGATCACCTCCACAGCAGTGCCTGAGGCCATGCAGGACCATGGCCACCAGTGCCATTTACACAAGTCACCTCCATGGTGTTGGGCACCCACAGCTCCTGTCTGGGCAGGATCACTGAGAAGTGCCAGCTTTGGGCATGATATGGTGGTGACTGAGAGGAGTAAGAAGCAGCCACCAGTGGGGGGGTGTTGTTGATGTGTGTCAGCATAATAAAGGTGTTTTTAACATTTTTAACTGTAAAAAAACAGAAGGTACATTAGCATGGTGACCTTACCATAAAAGAGAAAAAAAAAATAGAAAGAAACTTATTTTAAGTAGAGTTAAAATACAGGGTTCCCGAATAATCTTTTCAATTCTGACTGAAGAACTAGACTGCTCCTGAGCTTCCTCTTGATGTAGAGAAATCCTTCAAAGACTTCCTAAGAGCACTTGCTAACTAAGTATCAGCATTAGGTGCCTTGTTGTTTTGAACAATTCTACTAAATTTCTGCATTTTCAGTAAACTAAGTACTACATATCTGCCTACAATGGACTGAGGGTTCCATGTAGGACTAAAGATCCCAAGTCCTAGTTCTCAGAAGTAATTCAAGGCTCTAATTTCAGCTGCCAGTTTGGATGATGAGATTTCAAGGCTTCCTTGTGTAAGCTTTCAGAAGAAATTGGAGAAGTGAAAATGTGAGGATTCTTTTTTTTTTTCTTCTTTTCTATTCTGAAATTTGAAACAGCTGTTACAAAATGTTTATAACCGTACATAGTGCTCAATAAATGTCTAAACCTAGAAGGAACTATGCATGAATTATGTCTGATTTATACATTAAATAAAAGTAGAAAGAGCCAGTTGAATTTTAAACATTCCCCTTGCATTCAGTAAGACTAGAAATTATGTCTATAGAATATTTCCTGCAAAAATGTCTAATGCATTTCATATACAATATAAAAAAATATTTTAAAAGCTTTCTGCGAGTTTATCAGACAAGGTAAATACTTGGGCCTAATTAAACCTTCTTAAATTGGCTTTTGATAGTGAAAAATAGCCTTATTTTTAATCTCACTCCGTAAAGTGCAGTCCAAGATTATACATAAGGAAAGATCTGAGCTGCCATTAATTGCTGAAAGTTACTTCTCTTGGACAGGTCAATAAACTCATAGGGCACATATCAGCCTTCAGGAATCAGACCCCAGGGTGAGGCAGGACAATCCCCATCCCAGCCCTGGATCCTGAGCAGATCCCAAGCCAGCTCTGAGAAGGTCAAATCTTCAGCTCATCTCCTTTTGGGGCGATGAAGTGTGTTGGATTACAGGATCTTTGGAGAGGCAGGAGCAGGGCCCTGTTATGACCCTGGCCTCAGATTCTACTGGTCTGGCTGTCAGCAGCCAGCAGTGATAGCCTTCCAAGGTGCGGACAAAGCAGGGCACACCAATGCTTCTAAACATCCAATTGACCTGTCTCAACTGCAGAGATACACGTTTCAAAGAAAGGTTTCATGGAGCTAAAGCTGCAGTTCCATTAGAGGTACAAATGAGTTAACAAAGTCATACTAAAGTTTTGCCTACAATGTAATGCAGCTCCGAAGATATGTGTATCTAACACTCAAAAAGCAATGCCATTACGTGTCATTATTTAGTTGCAAAACACTTTGGTAGATACTTTTACTGCCTCTTTGGTGGATTATTTTTAAACTGTAGATACTCTGCAGTCATACTTACCAATTTAACTTTGCAGGGATAATACATGGCCTGATTAGCCCCAGGGAATGAAGATATTTCATATTTTTTCTTCCAGTTTATTACCCATCTTTGGCAAACAAAGCAAAATAAATCAATTAAAATGATATTTTAAGAAGAGTATTCCCAGGTTTGGTTAGCTAAATCACATTTTTGCCATTAATGTGGCCTTTATAGATGTTTTAGACCTTTCTCAAGATCATCTGCATGTATCAAAATAAAACATTCTCCTCCCAGTTTTATGGCACAGCTCTGTTAGAAAAACATTTCAGTGGAACAATTTCAAAACAAAACTTTGTGGTTTAGCTCCCTAAACCACAGAGGCAGTTGCCATTTATTTTGGCTGTCTCCACCACTGCTCTGTGCATAGTGAAAGTGCTTCCCAGCCCACCTTGCACAAACACAAGCGCTGCCACTTCGGTCCTTCCTTGTGTGCTCTCCTCTCCAGTGCAGAAGTGAGCTCTGTGTGTCGCCATTACCCCAGCAGCTGGAAATTTCCTAGATTCCACTCAAAATAAAGCAAAGTAGGTGAATGGATGCCCTGAGAGATACAGGTAGGAGGGACAGAGCAGGCAGCTCCCCTCCCGACCTGAAGGCCCTGACAGGCTGTGTGGCTGCGCTCCATGCGGGTGCCTGCCCTTGGGCTGGGGGATGCAGCAGGCAAGGCACAGGGCACTGCTCTCATCAGCCCCTCGTTACACCTCCTCCAGAAGCTGGTCAGTAACTAAGGGCCAGCTAATTTTGGGGTATGAGTTTAGGCGTTTACTCTTGGAATGAGCACCAATGAAACTTCACAAGTGGCTCTGGCACCCATGAGGGTCTGTGCTTTTTACTGCAGACATGCTCTAAGTCTGGAATTGCAGGTGCTTCAGCAACATCAGTGTTTCCACAGAGGCCCTGGCCCTTTTGGGTGCAGTTTACACTCCCAGGGCAGAGGAGGGTGACTCCCTGACAGCCAGCCTTTGCCAAGGGGCAGATGAGCCGCGGCAGCTGTCTCAGGGAGCTGTAACTGAGTTTTCTGGGGAGACCAACACCCTGACACATCATGTTACTGCTTACGAGTTCAATGCCACCCCTGGATGACCTGACAACACCAACCTAGGGTAACAGAGCCATCTTAACACCAGGCTTGATTTGAGACATGGACCACGTGGGAAGTCCTTCAGTGTGGGAGAAACCATTTCTCCTCTTTAGGAAGAACCATGTGAGATTAGGAAACCCTTTCCAAACCTGCTGGATCCTTTATGGAGTTTATACACCTACAGTCACACCATGTGAATAACAGCTCACTACGAAACCAGAACTGAAGCCATCCAATCCCACACCTTCAGCACAGGATAAATAAAACTAGCAGCTTCAATGTTTCCCTGCTATATTTAAGCAGCAGTAGCCTGGTTTTGACACTGCTCCAGACAGTTTACGCCTGCATGATCACAGTAGATATTTTACTCTTTAACGTTAAAAGTGTTTTCATAGTATACATTTTTCTTAAATCAAGAAACGAACCATGGACTTTTAGAAAAGCTGACTCTTCCCTTATTCCTCTACTATCCATGGCCATTTTGCCACTGACAACAAAAAAGGAGGACCAGAGCCTTTAATTCCCTACTTTTAAGTGTTAATATATTTACAGATGACTATACAAACAAGCGCCAAACAGCAATTGCACATTATTAGAGCTACACAATATTTGCACATGTTGCTAAAACAATGCTGCTAAATTAAGAAGCTTTATTAGTTCAGAGTTTTTGGCTGCTGTTATTAAAAATATATTTACCTGAAAGGAAATCCAAGTATTTCATTTTATAAACAATTGAAAATATAGCAGTAAGCAACATAAACTACTGCTTTTTATGTTTATACATTTTTTTTTTGGCATAACACTGCCATACAGGTACAGAATTATAAAATATCTCTTTATAGTGCATTACAAATCCAGAAACTGGTTACCACTCCTACCACACACATATGGTATTGGTACTACCAAACATGCACAGCATCCTGTAATTAAATACTGCAAAGAAATATAGAAAGAGAGCAGGACCATTCATAAAAACTGACATAGAGCTGTTCCATTTTGCAAGTAAGAATTGTTGGGCTTTGGGGTTTTCTCTTTTTACTGCACTTTTTTCTTAGAATACATTTGAACAATGAAGTCTATGATATTTTTGAATTTTATCAGTGCAAAACTACACTTAATCATCTGTTGCTGAAATCAAACTGCATAAAGGGCAAACAACCATGGAATACGTTAAAACACAGAAAAAGAAGAGCAACTAATGATTAGCAAACATGCTTCAGCAGATCTCAAAAATATAAGTGCCATAACCTTTTTTACTGCAAAACAATAATTTTCACATGGTTAGCCACAATAGTAAGTACATTCAGTATATTTCACAGTAAACTTTAGTTGATGAATACACCACTGAACTTGTAAGCATGGTAGAATTAAAAAGCCACATTTCTAAGAAGAGATTTCTTTCAGAACGATTTGCCAATTATCACATTTTTTTTTATCTTACAGCAAACAGCATAATGCTTTTGAAAATAAATGTAGAAGTGATTACAAGTGTAAAGCCAGACGAGGTCTCTATTGATCTCTATAGCTTTTGAACTACATTTTAGGAGTCCATTACATACAGCATGTAATAAACCTATTCTTAAAAGTAAATTTTTGCTTTCACCAAGGTCTTAACTAAGTGTACTTAAGAACAAGGGCTGAAAAGGGAACACAGCTTTCAGGAAAAGAAACAGTTCATAGCCAATGCTGAGCACAAAGATATTACAGAAACACAATGTGCACCCCCCTTGAAGAACTGTATCTAAATATCTGTAAGTAGTGAATTTATGGTGTTGACCATAATGTGAATTGAAGGGGACTGTATATACTTAGGCCTTTTTTGACCCATCCCTCGTTTTCAGACTTTGATAATCATAAAAAACACCTTTTGACCAGTCACTCCAATTACAACTGGAAGTGTGAACTTGTATCAAAACAAATGTAGAATGATGAGTATAGTTCTCAACAAACCCCAGACAGTATTTCCACCTTCTATGCGATCCCAGTGTTATATTCATTGATCCTGGTAGCTCCAAATCCAGAGGTACCTCACTCATGTGGGGTAGGAATAGGTTTTCCATTTGACTGATTTTGCTTTCACACTGGTAAGAAGAGAATAAATCAACCCTGTTCTGCAGTTGGAATCTGACTTTTAACACTTAATCTACACTTTTAACACTAGTCTACAAAAGGATTTATGTGCAAAAATGTGTTTAGAAGTAAGTAAGGTATTGCCACCAACTTAGGACAAGTTTCTGCCTAAGCAGACATCTTCTGCCTAAAAACAGAAGAAACATGGGGAATCTTCTGTCTAAACAGGTATTTTGTCATTAGAATCTCCCATGGAATTTAAAAACTGATTTGAAGTAGACTACACTTCACCTTACAGAACTTTTAGTACTGTGTTCAAATGTAGTAGCAATTCTTGAATAAACTGATCTGACAAAAGTAAGAGATCACCTTCACCACACAAAACATTATTAAAACATGGAACACACAGCTACAAGGGATTGTAGAGGCTGAAAGAAACCATGAATTCAAAACCAAAAAATTCCTGGAGACAAATGGGGTCACTGTATAATTTCTTTGCTTCACAGCATCTTTTGGTGGCCACTGTTGGAGGCAGGACACAAGGCTAGAAACATCTTTCGTTCTGATCCCCACTGGCAATTCTGAGGACAACATACATCATCAGCATGATATTGTCACACTTTTATTAATGGCAAAACTTGCTTCACATACTTGTATCTTATTCAGAAATACAGCTTTTGTCCAGGAAATTCAATATTGTATGTTTCCTGCAAAAGTGTGGTGTAAAAAAATTACATTTTCACTTAAACATATATAACTATAAATTGTGATCAGTACCATCACAACAGTAAGAAAAAGAAAGGTGTAAAATAACCTCTCAATTAAACAGATAGACATAAATTTTATTTAAAAACAAACAAGCCGTTTTCCATTTAAATCCAGTAAATGTCACTTGTCTTACCTCATTGGATCATCCATCAACATTGTACAAAGCTTCTAAGGTATGTAAACCTTCTGTTTATAGTACAGATATATGCAACTGCAGATTATTAGAATTATCCTGGAATAGTTCAGGGAGGCTTACACTAGGTTACATGAAATATTAACGATGATTATACAAATATCTAATACATTAGAGTGCTGCAATCTTAGAGCCAGAAACTGAGGAGCTGACCCAAGCCAGGGAACAGCTCCCAAAAGATTATTGCACTTATTTTTAGAATCCTTCAGGATTTTATTTGAGCAACATGAACACAAAGACCTCAGACCTGCTCCCAGATATGCTGACACATGTAACTACTCTTCTGCTGTGAATGGTCTGTGCTGCACACCTCATGTACCCAAGCCTCCAGTCTCTACAGCAACACAGTATGAGGTACCGAGGCACACTTGTGTCTGGCATAGTAGGGCACAGAGCTGTAATTAACCTTAAAGTGCTGCATTTTTGCATGATTTGTATGATCGCCTTGTGTGTACTCATCTGTGCACTCAGTAACATTGTTTCAAATTGCACATTCATATCCCCTCACCATAAGAGCCTCAAAATCAAAGTCACAGGTATGTGCACGTACACACTACTCCCACTTAACAGTACCAGAGGCTACTCAGATGTTCTTACTTGGAAAGAACCTTCATATGGAAGGTTCTGTTCAATAAACATATGAACAGCTCAGATTCTAGTCTAACACTGGGCCAAAATACACTATTGTAACAAGTACACAGAAATCCCTGAATGCTTAAGCACATAGCAAGACAAAAAGAAATTTAACAGTAAGCAAATGACTTGACTTTCTTTGCATACCCTCACTTCAGTTTCTGAAGTAATGGTTAAACAACTATGTACTGGCATCTATGAGGATACAGTCATTTCAACACATATATATATACACTGTATATATATTGTAAACCTGAAAACCAATACTTAGAAACTTCAAGCAGGGGGTGCTTTGGTTGCTAAGGCCATGATTCTGTAACAAAAATGCATACAGTGCACCCACTTGATCCTCGCAAATCTCAATGGGAGGCTATACTGTATGATTGCCCTGCAATAAATCCTTCTTTTCAGTACTTGCAAAATCAGAAGAAACAATTCCGCTATGAAAAGAATGAAACACTGTCACATTTTACATAGAGCGGAATTTGTTAGTTAAAGCTTTAGTGTCCCATGGGAGTAATTCTGTTGATAAAGCTGTAAAACAAGGATTAGAGAGTGCAGGAGCCCACCTGACACAAAAACCCTCACTTACATAGTCCCTTATAGTTCTTCGTAGGCAACTGATATGCCACTACTCTTATATTAAAACACAGAGAAATATACTGAGTTGCAGATAAAAAAACATATTCAGGTGTAAGTATGAAAGTTTTTGACAATATTTTCAAATACCTCGGCCCCTTAATGCAGACAGCTCTGTCAGATTAAAAGTATTTTAAATACTTAAAAAAAACATCAAACCAGTAAGCATGTTTAAGTGAGAGATGTGTCATGACAACAGAATACTGCAGAGTAATCTTCTCGATGCACATCCCAAGAACTTTGTTTAAAATCAGAGCAAGATTTTTTTTTTTTGTTCAGTAGACAAAAGATCTCCTGAGGTCATTGATGTTCAATCAAATTACACTATAAATATAATAACACCTCCAGCATCCCTTATTTCACTTCAATACTCCACATTTTCTGTACAGTGTTTCACATTAATACTAAAGTTCATAAAATGAAGGCTCTGTGTAGCTTCCTATGCTATAGTTATGTTCCTTATACACAGAGTATTAATTTTCCCTATGGTACTCAAAAAATAACTACATAACAACTCTATGAAGTTTGCACAGTTAGGCACTCAAGACTGAAACAGTCATAGGCAGAAAATGAAGTGTCCTCCCTTTGCATATGTGGAGGGGCAGAGTCCTTAACTACACAGACCAGGTTTATCACAGCACTTCCTTCCCCTTCTGTTCTGAAAGTCAGAGGCAAACACAAACAAGGGAATCCCAGTTCATGTCCAGGGAACTGTCAAAGGCTTCTCAGGATCTTTCTGGCCTTAAAAATGTGGTGGCTGGAATTCTTTGGGAGTTCTCAGACAGACTTAATGCCTACTTGAATGATCCATGTTACCCCAAAAAAAAATAAAAATCCATGTATATAAGTTCCTTTCCTCACATGTTAGCAGAAAAAGAGAAATACATCTTCCTTCTTTGCTTCCTTAGAATGGAAAGAGCCTACTCTTTTTCCATAGGGACCAAGATCCCTCACTGCCACTCTATTTGATCCCAAGAACCAGCGCTACCCAGAGAAAAAAAATGGATGATGAATTGCCATGATGGGCATTAGCAAAACAGAACACAAAACATATTGTCTATGATCTGAAACCCCTGAAAAGTTCATCATTTAGAGTTATAAGCCTTCAATAAAGTCCTGTAGCATTTTGACACTCAAAATGTAGTCAGCCTCTTGCCTCCTAACATTTAATAAGACATACATTAAAGGCAGTGGATAATATGTACACTTTGAAACAGAAAATAGAAGTTTCAGAGTATTTTAGGACTGTAGGAAGTGTGAATTGTACCTGCATTAATTTTTAAGTCATATTCTGCACAACTAACGTGCTGGGTACTATTGTTTGACTTGAACAGCAGAAAATCAGAAGACGCTACTCAGGGAGAGCAGACAGTTCTTCGGCAGAAGCTGGGAAAGATCTTAATAGTGAAATTCCTACTTGATGGGCTCCAGCCCAGCCAACAGACTGGCCTGCCTTAAGTTTCCACTGATTATCGAAATAACATAAAACTGTAAGAGACTTATGAGAGCAAAGAGAGGAAACAGACAGCTGGAAAGAAGCATCAGGCCTGCCTTTGTCTCTGAGACCAGCAACAGCTCACTGCATTGTGCAGATTCTGCCCAAAACTGGCCAAGAAACATTGAAGTTAAAGACCCAACTTGGCATGCCTGCTGCCCTTTTCTCTGATGGCTTTGCTGATCAGGGAATGTTTTGTGGTAAAGACACTGCATTTCAGCTGTCCAGAAGCTTTCCAGGTGCTGAAGCCAGCTGAGAGAGTTGTCTAATTACAGCTGATTCAACAGAGAGCTTTCAAACGGAGATGAAACTTTGAGAGATCAAAGTGATCCCTCCCCCTAGATTAGTTGTAACAAATGAGATGAGAGAAGGAAAAATTTAACAGGGACTAAAAACTCTAAAGTGCAACTTCCCTTGTATCCAAAAGCTGTGGATACAGTTCCTTCATAAGTTAAAACTTTTATTCAATGTACAGTGATTCCCAGATGTACAGGACATGATATATGCTATCCATCGTTAAGTACCTCCAACAAAGATGCTAATCTAAGGTAAAAGATACTGTGCAAATACTGCTATTAATCATGACCATAGTTCCTAAAAAAAAATTACCACTAGGGTAAAAAACTGTATTTTTGAAATAATTTCTAGTAATTTCCTAAATGGAAAACAAAAAGTAAACTTAAAGGAAGCTTTAAAACTCTAATGTTCCAAGGCTTTTTAGTTGTTATACTTTAATTTTATTTATTTATTTTTTAATACTGGATGAATTTTAAAAAGTAGATAAGCTTTTCTGTGCAATCTGTCCGGAAAAGATAATGAATTTCTTAGCTTTCAGTACACACAATTGTTTTAAAGAGACACACCTGCTTGCCTGCTGATAAACTGAGGGTGAAAAAATCAAAATTCATTAACCTAACAGAAGCCTAATCTGATGCATTTGCAACAAGCATAGTCTTGTGAATTTACACTAGATGGAAATATCAACCAAAATGAAGAAGCAATGAATAATTTGCTTCATTCAAAGTGAAACAAAGATTTCTTTAAACCTCAGATTCATAGTTTGAGCTCATCCTTAGCTTTTGTGGTGATCCCCTCTGAAAGTGTTTCCTTATCAAGGTTATCTTGGAGATCAGCTGATGTATCATTTGCAGAATTCTCCGTGTTACATTTATCTTCCTCTATAACGCCTGGGTGATTTCCACAGTCATTGTTCAAACTGTCATCATCTTTTTTGGAATGAGAAATGTCCTCTTTTCTGTCTGAATTATCATGAATTTCTTCTGATTTTGAAAGCTGACCAGTATCATCATCACTGTTCTTTTCACTGTTCTCCCTAACAGCATCACAGTTTGCTTCTTGCTCATCCTGATCATTTTCTTCCCCATTTTTTGTGAATTCTACCTTTCTTTCTTCAGTTATTTTACCAGCTGAGCTTCCACTTGCCGATGTGTTCTTAGGCTCTTTCTGTTTCTTATGCTTAGAAATATGACTATTGGGAATAGAAACTGGCGATGCTGGCTTTTTATTTGCTTTGCTTCCTTCTGACTTCTGTTTTCTTGGGGGTCCCCAGATAAAATGCTCTGAGGGTGTATAATGTTGCTGGGCAAATCTCAGCAGTTTCCTCCTTTCTCTTCGGTCTCTAATAGTATACACAAAATATTCTAGAGCACTTTGCTTAATGTTGGGAATGGTATCTTCTACAAGAGCTTCATGCAGAATAAATTTTACCAGGGGAGATTTGAAACTCTCATATCCAAGTTCACCAAGACTTTTCAAAATTCGAGTGATTCTTAAGTAGTTATGTTGAGACCTTTGAAAGAAACAGGTAAAAAAATTCTATTTAATCAGAAAAAAACCCAGTTTACAAATACAGAACTGGAACTGCAATTCCTCAGTTTTTTTTATCACTTCAGGTATGAACTTCAGACTTCCTGTATTTTAATTTCTCAAAACTGCTGAAGCTTACCAGCACCTCCTTTGCTAGGATGTTGTGAGTGAAAGTTAATGTTCGTAAAAAGCACTGGGGGAGAAGGCTGAGAGAAAATAAACTCAAATGTGTACTGATTTTGGTTCCTTCTGCTGTATGAGAAGGGCAACAAAGCTGGTGAAGGGTCTGTAACCTGTAAATCCTATGAAGAGCAGCAAAAGGTAATGGGATTGTTTATTCTGGAGCAACAAAAGCTCAGGGGAGACCTTACTGCTCACTACAGCTGCCTGAGAGGAGGTTGTGGCAAGGGGAGAGTTGGTTTCTTGTCCAAGGCAACAAGTGACAGGACAAAGGGAAATAGCCTCAGGCTGCACCATGTGGAGGTTCAGGCTGGATATCAGGAAAAATGTCTTCTGTGGAAGAGTGGTTAAGCATTGGAACAGGCTGCCTAGGGAAGTGGTGGAATCGCCATACCTGAAAGTGTTCAAAAGATGAGTAGATGTGGCACTTAGTGCAATAGTTTAATCGATATGGTGATGTTTGGTCAAAGATTGGACTCAAAGATCTGAGAGATTTTTTTCCAACCTTAGTGATTCTATGCTGTTCTCTTTCTGGGGAGAAAACCCAGTCACTTTGTAAATGAAAGGATTTGTAGTGTATTTATAGTGCAGCTACAGAACAGGGTTCATTGCACTTCACGCAAGTTATTTAAAAGTTGGGTCTCCAGTCTAGACAAGCACCTGTACTGATACAGTCAGTGCTAGAGGAAAAACAGGCATCTCTGGAGAGTAAGTCCCACTGTTGTAGGAAATATCTAAGAGAAAATTAACAAATTGCCTTCTGGAAGTGCTTGTGAAAAGGTCTTTCCCTTGTAAAGCACACCTTAGTATGCAGTAAAACTTTTATGTTTGAGTTTTAGATTGATAAAATTACATAAAGAAAGTCCCAAATCCTGACTTAAAACTGTAGCTTTCATTGGAAAGAACAGGAGTGAAACCATGAAGTAATGTTTGGGCTTCCTGAAAACCTGTTTTATCTGTAGCCTGAGTCTGAGATCACACCCATATTGGCTCATACAATGTTTAAGTAAAATTATTAACAAATTATTCCTATTATTCACCTGGATTCATCAGCAAGTGTACCTACAAGCTTTTACTGTGACAGGAGAACAAACTGCTGCAAGAAAACAATCTACAGCTCTAAGGTCTGAGATATTAGGAAAGTGAGCACAAGATTTGAAAAGAGGTTTTGGTACAATTAATCTGTATGAGACAAAACTCAACGCAAACTTAGGATCCACACAATACCAATGAAAAGCAACTGATATAATTTTCTGAACACTGGGACAAGGTTTGACATAACATGTTTAAACTTTTCCAGATCAGTATTTCAGTTAAAAATATTTAAATACAAAGTATTTCATGTTTTGAGGAGGGAGGGAAATCCTGTTACTTAACTTTCATACAGGTGTGGAGAATTTGATCTTTCTCAAAAAGAAATGTAAATAAAAAGATAAGCCACTTGTTTTTTTCCATGTAAGAAGCAACACTTTGGGATTGGGTGAAAACAAATTCAGTACCATGACAAATTAATTTGGAGCTAATATCTTCTTCAGCACCATCTAAAGTTGTGTTTTCAAAGAATTCAATAATGTCAATCCAACTGGTAATGGGTGAGAAAAACAATCAAAAAAGGGGAAGGACAAACATACAGATAGAGGCATAAACCAGGCATCAACTATTTATTTTTCCTTTTCTTTTTTTCCTGGCAGTCTTTGGAAAAAATACCTCTGCTTTCTCTAGAAAACAAAAGCATAAAGAGATTCTGTAGCAATTCTAGCAAGTGAAGTGCATGTCATTACTTACTCATTCAAATGCTGAAATCTTTCTTGCCAGTTAGCAGCTCGTGCAACGTTTCCAGTTTTATCAATTAGTTTTATTCCAAAAAACTCCAGCATCATTTTGTAAGCCAAAAGGAATCTTCTAATTGCTTCTTTTGTTTTCTTGAATTCCTAATGGACAAAGAATATGTCCAAAATTCTAAGTGGCACTAAAGCAAGTACTTCTGCATTGTATAAGACAGCTCTACATAACAAAAAGCAGTTATGTATTTAAAATTACTGTGATGGTTTGTATGGAGATCAATTTGTATTACCTCAATCTCATATGTAGTTAATTCTTTAGCATAGAAGTTCAGACCTTGTTCCCTCAGTGGAAAAAGCCTGTTAAAACAATAAGTGCATTATGGCTCAGTGTAAGAACATTTAATCGAATTAATGCTTTGAAACAGAAATAGGTAATAATTGACCAACCACTGTATGTAAGTGTGGTTATGCTCCAGTTTTTCATAGTCTCCTTTCCATTTATTTAGGACTTCTTCAATATAAACCCCTGCACAAAAATAATTTGAAAAAATGTTAGGTAGACATCAAAACCAGCACTCAGCTACATAAAGTACATGCATGTTTAAATAATGATAGAACATGTACTTTGTCTTTCACATACTATGTGAAATAAGGTCTATTGAAGCCAAAAATAAATTTTAATTTAAAACTAATTTAGTTACTAAAACTTATTTAAAAAATAAGGTACTTATAAAATGTCAATATAAACAAAACCAGCTGACATACTGGGTTACTAACAAGTGAAGGTATGTGACAGCAACCTATGTAAAATATATCTAAGAGTTCCCATGAGATCCCTTTATCACACGGACTGGGAATTAACAAACTGCTTCCATAAAATACTGCACTGTGAATTACCTGTCATTGCTTTTACAAGACAAAATTCTGCAGCCATCCATCTATCCATCCATCTATCCATCCGTCTATCCATCCGTCCAATCTTCTAAGCCTCAACTCTCTCATGCCACGAATCTCTCCAGCTTCAAATACCATTATGATTGGAAATCTTTCTTAATTAATGGTGGCTAAGCACTACACTGAGACTGTGCTCATGAAATTCAGTCATGGGCCAGGGCACTTTTCCAGGTACTACACGAAGTACAAAAAAACCTTGTTCCCAAAGCCGTACAATATCTTTCCATGAATGAGCACTGTGTTTGTCTGTTTCTATTCTGAAACCAACAACAGCTGCACAGTGTCTGCCAAAGTCAGATAGCATAGGAGCAGCCTGAAAAACCCAAAGCCCCATGTATACAATCTCCTGCTATATATTTAAGATGCCTCTTCACCCAGTGAAAATTTCTATTTAGGTCTCAATGGCAAAGGAGGACGCATTTGATACTTTTATTTAAGAAGTGAAGAAAGCAGCTAGTTGAAGGGGCTGCTACGTACATGGGGTTTCCAGTGTAGGAAAAGGACCTTGGAAAGAGGACCTTTCACCATCGCTGCATTGAATCCAACCTATATTTCAAGTACTGGAAAACTTGCTGCTCAGTCCCAGGGCAGAGAGACAAACAGGCCAGCTCTGATCTAGAATCACAAGCTAAATCTGTAGGTCATGGAACTAAACCAGATCTAGTATTGCACCAGAAATGTTTTGGGTTTTTTAAACAACATTCTCCAGTATTTCAGTTCTTAACCTAAGGACTAGCTAAGGATAGCTAAGATTCCCTCTGAACACTCTCACAGATCCACAGACTTGGGTCAAGGTGGTGGTTACTCTTTTCCATTCTCAATACAAACTTGTGCATAACCAGAGCTCACAGCCAACAACATGTCAGCCTCCATGGCTTATCAGCTACCTTTGATGTGGTTTTCTCCCAAAATACAAAGAGCAATGTTATTTGCAAATTTTGGGAGTGAAGCCCTCCTATACCTTTCATGACTGTCTCCTCTTGTAACTAATCCTCTTGAACTGTTCCTTCATTTTGGGCTTTAAAGGAGTTCTTCCCCACAACCTTTTCTGCCTTCTAGTTTCAGAGCCATATGGTCCCCAGTTTCACACAGACCTCAGTGCCCTTCACTTTCTTTCTATATCTGCTCTCTGTGTAACATCTCCCAGATCTGCTACTTCTTTACTGGCAATTCACAGACCCACTTCTTCTTGCAGTCAAACTAAAACTGACTAAAAGCATCTGCCTATGGGTATCTAGATAAAGCTCAAGCCAGTTAAATCAAAAGTCTTATCTTTCTTTCACAACCTGAGTTATTTTCTCACTTGCTAAGGGTATTACTGCTATCTTGTCTATAAACAGTTCTCACCTTCAACTTCCCTATATGTACATTTTTATAACCTTCCGTGTAACATTCTTTTCCATCCAGCTTCCTATCTGAACTCTCACACAGTTGAGTTGCATCTCAACTTTTTTTTTTCCTGACCTTGAAAAGTGCTTTCTTGTCATGCTTACACCTACTCTGAATGCTGCTGAAGGCAGCTACCCTGAATGCTGGGAAGATTAACTTTCTAGACTGTTACTTTTTCATACTGTCTCACTTTTTTTTCGCTTTGCATCCTTCCATTATGGAACGCTGCCCTGTAACATCGAACAAAAACTACACACCTTCACTTCCAAAGCCTTTGTGACCTGTCCCTTACTACCTTATCAAAACCCATTTGTTTCTATGAGACTGATCCTGTTTCCAACAGGATCCTGCCTCAGAGGCAGCCTACACATCTCACTCCTGCACTCCAATGTACACTTCACTATTTCCTACCAAGCTGCTCTCATGCTGAGAGGATCCTTCTACAAATACCTTCAAAGTAACCTCGTCATCATTCTTCTAAAACTCAGAAAATCTTATTTCTGGCCTTCAGTTTGTCTTTTTTGCTAATGGCTAAGCTCTTGTGTGCTGAGATTCCTGTCCACCACCCTAACCAAGATTGCTTTATTGCCTCCTCCTGCTTCCCAATCTGTCTGCTGTCCTATTGTCTCTCATGCTGACTGCAAACTCTCTAGAGTAGGGTTTATCATCTTTCAGCTTCTCCTGTGTTTGTGCAGAATGCTGCATACAAGGTTCCTGCTCCACCACCAGAACCACTAAGGACACTGAAAAATCACTTTATTATCGTTATTACAATAATCTCACACAAGACTAAAGCACATTTTTTTCCCCTTACACAGTTCTAGGGATAACACCCATAGATTGCTGCCACTCCTATTCAAACAGCAAGTTTGTGCAATATAGTGGAAGAACTTTTTCTTTGTTTAATAAATGTATTGCCACAAGACAGTGGTACTAACAATGCTTTGTACTACTTCATGCTGATAATGTCTAAGAAAAGCACCACCTTCCTAGAGTGAATGCTAACACTGTTTTAAGCACAAACTTGTGCTTATCAATGTGCTACTATGACATGGGTGGTTCATGCTCTACAGTATATTACTATACACCTTTAATTTGCCTCAATTATCACCACTGTTTCAATTTGCTACTATCATTAGTGAGCATTCTTTTGTTATCACTGTTATTGTCGCAGATTACTCACCATCAGGTTTAAATGGGATTTTATTTTTGTAAAACCGCAGATTGCACAAGTCATTTTGATACCGAAGATCTTTAAAGTTCTGCTAAAAGAAAGGAAATAGGACATTATCAGCCTGCAGAAACCTACCAAGACTATATAGAAAGTGATATTGGGCTTTTTGAATAATTTAAGGACAAAAAATTTTCAGATTTTTAGGAACCACAGAGTTCTACTCATACTCAAGACTCAGTTTAAGGATCTGAAAGTTCTTTCTGACTGGTACATTCTCCTACTGAGGCAGCAGCAAACATAGCAGAATCCTCCCTCCAGTCTGAAGGAACTTGAGAGACAAATAATCAGTCAGGCATACTCTATAATCTACCAACTTTGATATCCAAGGCAGAAGCCTTCTCCTGGGCTCCTACCACATTTCCCAGGCTTACCCATATCATGTGTTTGCATGTTTGTCCAGGATGGAAAGACATTGCTTCTCTCCCACTCGCATATGTTGTGCCTCCGTATCAGCTTTTTGGTTCTCATTTCTCATATTTACTGGACAACACAAAGGTTTAAAAATGTTTTTTTACTGAAAAGGCAATTTTAAACCATAAAATATTCTTACTGGATACTGGTGTCGGTACTTGTATAAATCTCTTGCTGCATAGAAGCTTCTCTTTGGCTTGGCTGTCAGCTCAGTTCCATCAGCACTCTGAAACAGTTAGAAAGCAGATAAGCATCATACACAAACCCCCTAAATAGCATATTTGTATAATATTAAAATAATTACTTTCCATTATGGATCTCAGCCATGTAAACAAACATAAGTGCATGTATTTGCCTACTGTTTGGTCAAACACTGAAAATTTCCCTTCTAAATACTTAACAGAACACACTTTAAACCTAAGTTAAAAAATTAATCTAAAATACAAAAGCAAGGCTATAAATTGTCCTTCCAATGAGGCTGAATTTGAATTAAAGCAACAGTCCGATTGTCATTTCCAAATGCAAGACTTCAAAGTAATCTGGCAAGTGCTAATACAAGATGAAACAAGTAACTGAACTTAAAAATGCAGACACACCACCAATTTTGAGGAGCAAATCATACTATTTGCAAAAAATAAAAATAAAAATAATTAAAAAAACCCATGTGTACATAGACCTAATTGCTATTATTGCACTCTATGGAAGAAAATGAATAGTTACTAAAAAAAAATTCATTCTACTCCTTACAATATACGCATAATAGGTTAAAGTCAAGCTTAAAAGAGGAAGTTCTCTGGGACTGCACTGGGCACTTGCTGCTATTTTTGCCCATCCTGTGGCTTATCAACTGCACATTAATGACAAACAAGCAACTATGTTCATCCCTCCTTTCACAAGACCAGCTTTGACCATACCTGTAGGCAAAACACACTTGATTGAACAAGAAACACCCCTTGACACTTGGTTATCCGGGACTAGTATCACCACGTAACAAGCAGAAAAGGGAAAGACGCTTAGGATTGCTTAATTTTGTATGGTCTCTAAACCAAAACATGATATATCTAGCAACCTTAAAAAAGACCCAGCTGCTCCACCCTACACGGTATTATAACTCAGATAAAATTATTGTCAAAAGAACACTTTATTTCTTTAAGCTCGGCATTTTCAAAGCGTCCTAAGGAAGAGAAACTCGCTCTGAAAATTCGTCACACCCACCGAGGAGTCACAATTCCACTGCCACATAGGACCAAATACTCCAATTTTCATCCTATTTAATGAAGAGGCCATGTTAAATGCTCCATTTATTTAAAACACAGCCTCCCCTGGAAACGGCAGCAGCGGGAACGTCGACGCCAAGGCCTCGATTTTCTCCCCACAGTGAGAGGGGAGGGGTGTGGAGAGAGGAAAACGGGCTTAGAGGAGATGCAGCGCTGGGTTATCCCCAGCCGCTCCGGGCCCGCGAGTGCCGCAGAGCAGCGGGGCTGCCCGGACCGCGGCTCGGCTCGGCTCGGCCGCCGGGCCCGCGGGCAGGGCAGGACAGGGCAGGGCAGGGCAGGGCAGGGCAGGGCAGGGCAGGGCAGGGCAGGGCAGGGCAGGGCAGGGCGAGGCGGGGGCCCGTCCGGCGCTGCCGGTACCTGCTCGGGGCTGGCGGCGTCCGCCTCTGCCCGCTCCGCGTCGTCCTGCGCTGGCGGGGCCGGCGGCGGCTCCCGGGGCCGGCAGTCGGCGGCGGGCGGCTCGGGCAGCTCTTCCCCGCCTCCCGCGGCGGCGCACACCCCCTCCTGCCGCCGCGGCTCCGCCGCCTCGGGCTCCGAGTCGGTCTCCCAGGTGGAGTCGCAGTCCTCCACCGTGGTGGGCTCCTTGAAGCTGACTCCGCTCAGCAGGCTGCCCATCGGCCCGGAGGCCGCGGAGGCCGAGGGCTGGGAGCGGCCGCCGGCTGCCTACGGCTGCGGCATGGCGGGGGGGGGGGGGGGGGGGCGGGGGGGCGCGCCC